GTGTATTACGTGAAGTTTTACATGTATTATGTGACGTAACGTATGTAAATTTATTTATTTAATTTTATATAAATTTAAATATTTATTTATACATACTCTAAATCTGAGGAAAGATGCCGAGCTGAAACCAAGTTAGTAGGCATAATATTATGTTAATTATGATATTATATTAAATTAGTTTTTTGAATATGCAATTTGGTATCATGACTTGATGCGAAAAAAATTGTTGTATTATGTGAACGGGCATAGTAGATAATTGTACCCTTTAATTATATTTATGTCCTTTAAATTTATGTGTGGTTCTAAAAGATATTTAGATTTGTATAAGTTGACGCATGAATTATGCGTGTCATCATACATGTAGGACAAAAATTGTGACGTATGGTGTGTATTTATTTGTTAGTTATATACAAGTTTTAACGTATGATGTGTATTTATTTGTTTAGTTTTATACAAAATTTAAATATCTATTTGTATATATCTAAAGTTAAAGGTCATAAGTGTGAACTAAAGTCAAGATAAACGATATATTTATATATTATATATCTATATGAAAGCAAACATAATACATTAACGTACTCTGTAACTGAATGTGCACAAGTAGACACTTAAACTTGTATAAAATTAAATAATTAAACGTACTCATTTTACATAATGTCTTATATAACAATTTTATATCCTACATGCCACGTGTAGATCCAATCCTCAAAATAGCCAAAATTATCAATGCAATTAGTAAATCGTGCCTGTAAAACGCATCTTATAAGTAATTTTCTCATTATATATATTGTATTATTAGCTTGGATGATTTTTTTTTTCTTTATCCCAATTTTTCTCCCCTTTGATTTATTTTATAATTTAACTCTTTTTAAAGGAAAAAATATATATATGAACGGTAAGTAGTACTATATATATTTGGAAACATTATGTGTTTATGGATAATTGTTCGAAAAAATTTATTCGCATTAAATATTTAAATTAGTCAATGCGTATTCATTATTATGTGATTTAATGAAATAAAATAAATTATGAATTTAATCACATGACATGCATGTATTGATTTGATGTAATCACTCGATGCGGATAAATTTTTCTCATTATTATTTGCTCATTTGCTTAGATGGTATAAAAAATTGATATTTTTCATTATTTGTGGGTTTCTTCATATTTATGAGAAAAAATATAGTTTTGGAATTTAAGTTGCATGTTCAAACATGATTTAATATCCAATCAATATGACTTTAAATCATACCCTTTAATTTGATATTATTTTATATTGGGAAAATTATATGATATAATAAACTATTAATTCAAATAGAATATTATAGTCATAGTTTCTTCTATTTGTAATTTAGAACAAACGTTTCATATTTTTGTCATTCCATTTGTATACCGAAATATATAAATAAATGCATTTGGTATACATATATGTTATATAAAAATTAATTGCATGACTCATTTGTATACCGAATATACAAATATACCCATTTGATATACATATATATTGTAACAAAATTAATTGCAGGATCAATTTGTATACCGGATATACAAATAAACTCATTCGGTATACATATGTTTCGTATAAAAATTTATTGCAGAACCTATTTGTATACTGAAATATATAAATAGCTCATTTGGTATATATATGTGTTTGTATATATGCAATAATTTTGTTTATATACAATTATTGTGTTTTAGTTTGTATACCTGAATATACAAATACATATTTTTATGCAATATGTGTACCGAAATATACAGATTAATAGTCATAGCAAACTATAGCGCAATTATACAAACTATAGTTATATCATACAAATATGATTTTTATGTTTGCTAAACCTAAAATTTACTCTTTTATATTTATGCCGTATAACTTTGTGTGCGGCACTAGAAGACACTTAAATTTGTATAACATTAAACAAGTGAACACGTGAATCCTACGTGTTATAATACATGTAGGACAAATTTTGTGACATAAAATGTGTATGTCTATTTGTTCAACTTCATACAAGTTTAACTGACTATTTGTGCAAACCTAAAGTTGAAGGGCATAAATGTGAACTAAGGTCAAGATAGATGACACTTTTGTATATTATATGCCTATATGAAAGTAAACATAATACATCAACGTACTATTTAACAGGGTGTGAACAAGTAGACACATAAACGAAATTGAATAACTAGACAGCTAGACGCACTTATTTTATATGATGTCCTATATGATAATTTTGTGTCCTACATGCCACGTGAAGACCCAATCCTCAAAATAATCAAAATTATTCAAGGGCAAAGTATATAAATCACATACTTTTAAGACAAAATTACAATCTATCCCTTAAATATTTATAATTACAAAAATCTTTCAAAACGGACAATAATATAAGCACTGATAAATTAATCTAATGCGCGAGATACATTCAATTTGATGTGCGAGATATGCTAATTTGATTCGCGAGATACATAAATTTGATGTGCGAGATACACTAATCTGATGTGCGAGATACGCTAATATGATGCGCGAGGTACATTTTATACATGATACACTAATCTGATGCGCGAGATACACTAATTTGATACACGACATACACTAATCTAATGTGCGAGATACACTAATCTGATGCGCAAGGTACATTTTTAAACATGATATGCTAATCTGGTGCGCAAGATACACTACTGTGATGTGCGAGATGCACGAGATACACTAATTTGATGGGCGAGATACACTAATATGATGCGCGAGGTATATTTTATACATGATACACTAATGTGATACGCCAGATACACTAATTTGATGTGCGAGATACACTAATTTGATGCGCGAGATACACTAACCTAATTGGCGAGGTATATTTTATACATGAAACACTAATTTGATGTGCGAGATACACTAATTTGATGCGCGAATTCAAAAATTTGTGAAACTTATAAGGAATAATGGTAATAAATAAACTAAAAGATGAAATTTCCGTAATGAATTCGTTGAATTATGCACTTAGTAAATCGCGTCCATCAAACAGTACTTCTCAGGCTGCATTTTCAAAACTGAATGGGATTTATTTCTGACATATATATGTATTTATTAATTTTTAATTTAACAATTTTTAAAGAAAAAAAATATATGAACGGTAAATATACTACTTTATATATTAGGAAATGTGTTCATGGATTATTGTTTGCTTAATGGCTTATAAAATAGAAAGAAAAAAATTGATAATGTTCATAATTTGTGAGGGTTTTTTTTAATATTTATGAGAAAAATACAATTTTAAATTTTAAATTTTAAATTGCATGTTCAAATAAGACTTAATATTCAAATATATATGATTTCAAATTATAATTTCATATCGGATTATTCAAATAGTATTCATACACATTATATGAAATTGTGAGATGAACTATATCATTTGGACATGTGATTGCACATTGATTTCATCTCAATAATTCATATTCTGAGATGAAATCTTATATTCTCCAAAATAATATGATTTAGGAATTTCATATTATTATTTAAGATTTTCAAATATAAAAAATGACCCACAAATTTATATTTTGTTAAAATAACTCACATTTATACCTACTAGCCATTTATTTCATATGTAAATAAAATATTGATTGAATTACAGTGATCATAATGAATTTGTAGTAATTTATAATGTGATTTTGTGAATTTTTATTTAGTTAGGTAAGAATTAATAAATAATTGGACTATTTTAATAGTTTTACAACTTATAAGATTGTTATTATTTATGAGAAAATGTGCAAAAAACTCAAAATCGAATGCCCAAACAAAACTTCAACTTTATCTCATGATATCATATAGCAAGTCATATATGAGCATAGTCAAAGTTAAAGGATACGAATACAATTAAAAACAAATCAAAAGGCATATTTATATATTATGTCATTACAAAATAAAAATATAAGATTATTGTATTCTTTATTTGGTTATCTGAGTACCATTGGTCTCAAAATTATTTTAGACGTACTAGAATGATGAGACTACTTATCTTTAGAATGTGAAAGTGAGATATATAGCTAATTCATCAAATACAATGCATGAGATAATTTTATTTATCTTATTACGATTATATAAATTATACTTATTTGTATAAAAAGATTATTTTATTTGTAAAACTACACATATAATATTATAAGATACTTATTTCGATGTACTTCATAAAGTAACAACAATTCTAACATAATAAATGTAATTTTACCAATGAAATTATTTTACTGTTGCAATAGAAAGAAATCATTGGATATTTTAGGCAAAGTTCTAAAAAATTAAGTTTGAAAATTTTAATAGCTTAGTCGTTTAATCGTATGAATTTTCATCTTGAATTTTTTTTTCATTTTTTTCGTATTTTAATTTCCTCCTCTGTATTTCTTTTCCATAACCTCATTTTTTCAATAAAAGAAAAATAGAAAAAGAAGAAGCTCATAAATACAAGCTACTCGAAATATATGTCTCTTCAATTTTAACACGTTCGACTTATTTGATTTTTTTACGAAGATTAAGAAAGTTAATAAAATAATTAAATCTTGTGAATTAAAATTAAAAATATGTTAAAATGTCATTTGATCTCGTAGTTATAAATATATCATGTGCAAATTGAGATCAAAGAGTTGCTAATAGAAAAAAAAAAGATTCATTCTTTTCAAACAAATTAAAAATATAGACATAACACATTAATATTTCATTTAACTTGATCTTTTTTCACATTAATTTCATTCAACTTTAATGGCACATATATAGACGTACGTATCCTACGTAACATTCTGCGTGACAATTTGTGTAATGTTTACTAGTTCAATTTTATACAAGCTTAATAGTTTATTTATACCCTCAAAGTTGACGCCTTGACGGATATAAATATAAGAATAAGGTTAAATTAAATGATTCGTTTATGTATTATGTCAAAATAAAAGTAGATCGAGTAAATTAAAAAATCGAAATAATATTACTTTTATTTTAATTGTCAAAAACTATACCCAAAATATCCTTAAAATGGATAAGAATCTTGATACAAATTTGGTAGAAAAATAAAAGGAAAAAAGAATCTTAAATTACTCAGCTCCAGCCAGCGTTGAAAACTTTGATTTTCCTTTAAATACACACAAAAAAAAGATCAACAGATCTGCAGAATTATCATTTTTCTTCTCCATAGAACTAATCTTCCAAAAGGGTATGTGTTTTTTCATTTTTTAATTCATTTAAATGTGTGTAATTTTAGCCCCTTTTCATATCAAGTATCTAAAACGTCTTTTTTGATTATTCTACTTTTGGGTACAATTTTGATGACCCCATCTAGTCAAAGTTTGGTTCTTTTTGTATTAGAGACTGTATAATCTGTTTCTTGTTATGGTTGAAGTGATAATTTGTTTGATTTGGTTGTAAATTGGGATTTTCCTGGTAAATTTTGATGTAAAATGGTATTTTTGGGACTCAAAAGTTATTGTTGTTGTAGGTATTTGCTGAAAGGGTACGTTTGTTTTTCCACTTTTGCAATTCATCAACATTGACTTAAGATGTTCATTGTTTGAACGTGTATAATTTACCCCCTTTTCATTTCAAGAATCTAAACAGTCTTTTTCTAGGTGTTTAGCTTTTTGATAACCCCAATTTTCCAAAGGTTGGTTCTGTTTAGTATTTAACACTGAATAATCTGTTTGTGTTGAATTGATAACTTTTTTTTATTTGTTTGTAAATTGTTTTTTTTTCTGGTAATATTTGATGAAAAATGGTATTTTCGATTCATATAGCCTACCTGAACTTGTTTGAAACTGAGACATAGTTGTTGAAAAGGTATTTTCTTTTTTCCCTTTTGCAATTTATCAACATTCACTTAAGATGTTCCCTGTTTGAATGTGTATAATTTACCCCTTTTTCATTTCAAGAATATAAACAGTCTTTTTCTAGGTGTTTAGCTTTTTGATTACTCTACTTTTGGGTATAATTCAGATAATCCCATCTGGTCAAAGTTTGTTCTTTTTAGTATTAGATACTTTGTAATCTGTTTCTTGTAATAGTTGAAGTGATACCTTGTTTGATTTGGTTGCAATGGGGATTTTTCTCCTAAATTTTGATGAAAAATGGTACTTTTTATTCATAGTCGACCCCGAACTTGTATGCGCGACTAAAATGTAGTAGTAGTTGCTGAAAGGATATGCTTGTCTTTCCACCTTTGTAATTCATCAACATTGACTTAAGATGTATACTTTTACCCCCCTTTTACTTTCAAGAATCTAAACAGTCATTTTGCGGGTGTTTATCTTTTTGATTATTCTACTCTTTGGTACAATTCAGTTAGCCCCATCTTTTCAAAGTTTGATTCTTTTTAGTATTAGACACTTCATAATCTGTTTTTTTCCCTTTGTTTGTTTGTTACAGTTGAAGTGATAGCTTTTTTTTATTTGGTTGTATATTGGGATTTATTTGTGTTAAAATTTGTGAAAAATTTTGATGAAAAAAATGTGTATTTGGATTTACTATGATGATGATATAATATGAGCTTAAAGACATAGTTGTTGTTGTTGTTAGTTGCTGAACACTTTGCAATTAATCAACTTTGACTTAAGATATTCATTGTTTGATATGTAGAACTTCATTTTCTTTCTAAGAATCTAAACAGTCTTTTTCCGGGTGTTTATCCTTTAGAGAGGAGCTTATGAAGGAATTAGATTCGGGTAGGAGGTCACTAGGTAGTTGAGTGTTGTCTCGCTTATCCTTCCATACTAGTAGTCATACTATTCTTGTAGTTTCTTGTTTGTTCAACTTCTGTTACTATTTGTTGTTCCTTGTACTTCAGTTATCATATTATTTGTTGTAGTTATTATTCCTCTTTCAGATTGTTTTGTCTTGCCTTGCTTAGTATTTTGCCTTGGTTTCTTCACTCCTGTTATTCTCTTGAGCCTCCCTTAGCCAAGGGTCTATGAGAAACAACCTCTCTACCTTCCAAGGTAGGGGCAAGGTCTATGTACACACTACCCTCTCTAGACCCACTTGTGAGATTACACGGGGTATGTTTTTGTTGTTGTACTCTTGGGTACAATTCAGGTAATCCCATCTTTTCAAAGTTGGTTCTTTTTAGTATTAGACACTTTAGAATCTGTTTCTTGTTACAGTTGAAGTGAAAACTTGTTGATTTGGTTGTATTTGAGATTTTTCTGTTCAATTTTGATGAAAAAATGGATTTTGGATTTTGAAATTATGTAGGTAGTCGCTGAGAGCTTGGAGGTCCAATGGCGATTGGTATGAAGCAGATGTCTATGATAATAGCAACCCTTGGTGTTTTATCCTTTATATTTGGAGTTATAGCTGAAAACAAGAAGGTTAGTTGAATAAATCAAACATGGGAATTCTTGTGAATCCTCTACTTAATCTTTTGTCTGCTATGTTTTATCCTTTGATTGTCTAAATTCTGTACGATATGCTTGCCTAGTTCTTTTGTGTGTGTGTGTGTGTGTGTGTTTTCTCCTCCTTTTTCTTAATGGACTTCACGGCATTGGGTCCACATCTTAATTTATATATGTACATACTTTAAAAATTCTCCAAACGTTTTATATCCATGTATATAGTTCGAGCCTGAGACTACCTGGCAAAGAACGACATAGGCCTGGTTGTGAGATAGTGTTGAATAGTACTACCAAAAATCTCTATTATCCATGTATTGAAGTGATTAGATCGCTTGAATTGCGACCTGATCTACTCTATTATGCTGTCCACATGTTGGATGAAGCATTGATCATGATTCTTCTTAGTTATCCTAAGTAGATATTTAATAGAGGAGTGGTAGTTGGTGTTAAATACAACATCAGACTTTTTCTTTGGTGTACATCAGCATAGAGAAACAAAACTTGTTGGTGATTAAAATTTCTGTTTTTATGGTTGTCGGCTTCAAAGTCTTGACCTTACTCTAACCATGTGATGCCTTGTATATAAAATCAGAGATAAACATTATAACATGGAAGGGTTTATGCTGATTCTTCATGGCTTAAACTACTTTTATTCACACGATGACAAGATAAATGATTGCTACTTTAGTGGTTGTGGCTAGTCTACCTGTTAGGACTTGGGAGAGCTAGGTGTGAAACATGGTTTTCTCAAACGTCTTGTGTCCAAGTATTCCTGTAGTGCTTTATAATCTTATCAAGAAAAACACAGAACAATTTCTTGATTTTCTCCTTCCATATTTTTGGTGTGTGTTTTGTCTGCATGATTTCTCCACTACCGTGCTTCCTTTCCATACTTGTTTTTGATATGTGTTCCTTGAGCCGAGGGTCTATCAGAAACAACCTCTCTACCTTCACAAGATATGGGTAAGGCTGCATGCACACCACCCTCCGCATACCCCGCTTGTGGGATTACACTGGGTATGTTGTTGTATTATATTTGTATTTTGTGGTGTGTCTGTTCCCACGTAATATAACACTTTTAATGTGTTTTTATATTGTGAAAATTGAAAATTTTACTGTGTCGAACAAGAAGATGTTATTCCTTCTTAATTTCCTGTCAGAAAAGTAAGGATCTTTGAGCATCATCAATGAGTACATGTGCAAACCATCAGTCAAATACGTTGTAGGTTTTGTTACTTTCTCCTCCCTTATTTAGGACTTTTTGGATATTTTTATTGCAGCCTGCAGCTGGGACTGCAATATCAGGAAAAGGCGTTGTTATTTGTAAATACAAGTCTGATCCTACTGTTGCCTTGGGCTATTTGTCTTTTGTTTTTCTTGCTGCATCTTCTGTGGCCGGTTTTCTGTCTTTGTTTTATCCGTATCAAGGAAAGTCAGTTCCACAAGCTGCTTTGCTGAGAAACACTAGTTTCCTCGTGTTCTTAAATATTGCATTGTAAGTACTCCTCAACTTGTTTTTTCTTTTTCGTTGTGTTTTATGCGCAATCTCTTCATTTACCTTCTTACTAATCCTAGTTCACTATCCTTATGTGTCTTACCATTGGCTCTTTTTATCTTGAAGTCGGTAAACACATCATTGTAGGTCACATACTTCTTGTTCCTTTGACCGTCATAATCTACAAATAATAGCACTAATATCATTTAGGAATTGCAGCTCTTGGATGTATAGATATATCGGATGAAGTGATGAATTTTTGAAAAAAATCGGATACCAACTTAATCAAAATGCAGAATGGGCTCTTTAATATCCTTTAAGTAGGATTATTCGAACTGCATATAATATATTTAACCCCCTGCTGAAAATAAGGTTCATTATGAGATACTTAACCCTTGATGACTCGATGGTAATAGTTCAGGTAGGAAAAGGGAAGGGAACAACTGATAATTGAGGTGTGTTTTAATATATAGAGATGATGGTACAGGTAGGAAAAAGGAAAACAACTGATAGTTGGAGTGTGAAACTCGTGAAAAAGCGGTAGTTCAGGTGTCATTCAAGTAGGAAAAGGGAACAACTCATAGTTGAGGACTTGAGGTGCGTTTTTAATACATAGATGGTAATAGTGCAGGAAGAGAAAAAACAGTAGGTTAGGTGCGTTTTTTACCATTAACCCTTGAACTTATATGTGGACTACTTCGGAAATTGATGTATCACCATCAACTATGTGATTGAGTTCACCGCGTCTCTTGATGGATAGGAATCTTGTCATTATTTCATATACTACTGTACTATTTTTCTGAACGTTAGTATTCTTTTTGGTGATTTTCTGCTGTTAATTCAAAGGGGCACAACTGGTTTAGCAGCAACATTGTTGTTGTGGCCTACAATCACCGAGCAACTTCATATCACACGCAACATTCATCACAACTTGCAGACCGATTGCCCAACTGCCAAGACCGGTCTTCTAGGTGGAGGTGCCTTCTTGTCTCTTGATTCCGCGCTCTTCTGGTTGGTGGCTTTGATGTTGGCTGATAACGCTCGTGAGGATTATTTCCAAGAAACGGATATCAAGGGCGAGCCGAAAGCAAGTTATGCAGATGATGAAATTATCAAGACCAGTGCTTAAGCCTTTCTACTCTCTCTTTGTTATATGTGTTGTTGCAAAATGAACTTTCAGCACAAACTGTAAAAAAAACATGTTTTCCTGCCTTTCTAAGTATAATAAAATATATGGATTGTTTTCCGTAGCCTCTTACAGAAATACAGGATAACCCTCCGGTCCTTCTTTGGACCCTATACGGTGGGAGTTATGGATTGTTTTCCGTAGCCTCTTACAGAAATACAGGATAACCCTCCGGTCCTTCTTTAGACCCTATACAGTGGGAGTTTAATGCATTGTGTTGTCATGTAATGTCTTTTTTTTTAAAAAAATAATTATTTTCCACAGCCTTTTACAGAAACGCAGGATAACCCTCTGGGCCTTCTTCGGACCCTACGAGTTTACTGCATTGGGTTGTCATATAATATTTTTTTTTAAAAAGGATTGTTTTTCCGCAGTCTCTTACAGAAATGCAAGATAACCCTCCGATTCTTCTTGGGACCCCACACAATGGTAGTTAAGTGCATTGGATTGTCATATAATATTCTTTTAAAAAGAATGAATTGTTTTTCCGTGACCTCTTACAAAAATGCAGGATAACCCTCCGATCCTTCTTGGGACCCCACACAATGATAGTTTAGTGCAGTGATTTGTCATATAATATTTTATTTTAAAAAAATTGCATTCATCTATTGTGGATGAATAAATTAAATAATTTTATTCTTGCATCATTTTTTACATATATTTATATTAAAGGTATATATATAGTATATAAATGCCTCTATACAAGCCTTTACAACCTGTTAAAGGCGTAGATTCGTATACATAATTTAATTGCCTCTTCTTTTTTTTAATCTAAAAAAGATTAAAAAGAGTTCCATATTCTCCATTATTATTACCTTTAATTTATTTTGTTTCTAGAAAGACATATACAATTTGTTAAAATATATAAACAATTAAATAAAAATAGTCAATAATATTCTAGTTTTTTTAAATAAATAAATCTGATATTCGCCAACAATTTATTATATGTAAGATGAACTCACATATATTTATCACCTTTCACTGACAAAAAATATCAAATAATTCTATCTATTCAAACTATGACGGATCATAATTCATTTGAGATATAATAAAGCCCTAAACTTTATTTTATGAAAGTTCAAATATATCAATAGTAATGTTGCATAACTTTGTTGAAAAGAAAATTCGATTCGATGTAGATTGATTATTTAATATTTGCTTTCTTCTTGGAGTCCATTAGTTTGTATATAATAATAATAATAATAATAATAACAAAAACAGCTTTATTCCAAAGTTAAATTAAAAGTTTATAAGGTGCTATGCTATACCTTAGAAAAAGCTGAAGTTACCTAGAAAGAAAATGCTATAAAAAATATTCACTAGGATGATTATATTAAATTAATAAATACATAATCTATATTTGAAATATATAATTATCTCTTAATCATAATTAGTTAATGTATTTCTCATAATAAGCCATAGTTTGATACAAGATGTTAGTATTAGTTCTTAGATATTCAAATATCAATCATTGAGTCTTTTTCTTTGTAATATTTAAAACTTAACTATTAAGTGTATTTATTTTTTTTAGATTATAATCATTTGATGAGTCTGAATAAATCTGAATGATTAAAATCTATAAAAAGAAAAAAGTCGAATATCATTAAGATGTTTATTTTAGAATTTCTACAAAGAGAACCGCTGTTTCATCTGCTTTCATTCACCACTCATAACTATCAACTCAATCAAAACTACGACCACCATCAATCACCACCACTTGTCATCTACAACCATCATTCTCAACCTAACCTCAACCACACCACTATCGTCAATCGTCAATCAATCTCCATCATTATTGCATTCATTAATTATTATCGATAATCACGGCCACTAGTCAACATTATATATCAATAACGTCATTATCTTGTCCATCAATATCATCCTACTACTTGTTATCAGCCTTCATTATCAATAACTGCAATTGCTTATTACTGTCAATCACTTTAGCTATAATCTTCATCAACAGTCAACACCATCTCAAATAAATGTCTTAATCTTAATAAAAACAAATGAGGTCTAAATATTTAATTTGAATCATCTTTCGTATGTTGAGATTCAGTATTTGAAAATCAAATATAACAAAAACTTACTCATAAAAAGTGTTCACATCAAACTATATTAATTTAATATTACTTAATTACATCCAAGCAATAAATATATTTAAAAATTTTTGTATCATACATTTGATGTAGCTTTTTTGTGAATTGAAGTATTTATGATTGTAAATTCACTTAAAAGGGGACATCAGAATTATCAATTACATAGTATTATATACTTCATTGGAATTATTTATTATAATAAATTAATTTAATGTAATATAAATATCAAATTTAAAAATAATCCATTAAAAAATTCAATGTCATAACATAAATAAAATAAAGAAACTAAGAGGTTAATAACAATAATATTCGAAAAAAGAAATTTGATATTTACAAAAAAACAATTAAAAATTTAAATCGAACCATAGAGACACAATAAAAAAAACTAAAATTATTGAAAAGTCAATGCCATCGCATAAATAAATAAAGAGATTAATAAAAAAATCAGAAAAAAGACATTTTATATTTTATTTCTTAAAAAAACAATTTAAAATTCAAATTGAATCAGATCAGATTCAAAAGGCTGAGGATTGGATGTTTAATATTTGTGCATCCTAAATTATACAAGTCACTTTGATTAAATTAAAGTATAAAATAAAACTCAAATAGAAATAAACTTACAAAAATGTTAAATTCAAATGGTGGAGGATTATATATTTATTAATTTGTGCATCCTAATTCATTAATTCATTTCTATTTAATATAAAATAAAATAAACTTTAAAAGTTTTAAAAAATTATAATCTAAAATATATTTATATAAATTAAAAATGAAATATTTATATATTGGGATGAAAGTAATAAAAATATCAATAATAGTTATTGTCGAATACCAAAAATTCTTTAATTCTTAAATAGAGGTCTACTATTATAGTCATATTTCACCCGCAAATAGATAAATCATAAAGAAAATCGATTAAAAATAAATAGGAAATTCACATCATTACAACAAATAACAATACTATATTTTGTGTGATTCCATAAATAAAATTAGAAGAAAATTAGATATACATAAATCGTAGATTTGCGATGTTACGTAACAACAAAAATTCAATATTACTAATGTATATTCATATAATAAAATATAACACAATATAATAACATACATTATGAAATAACACGTTAAAAACATCGAAAACAAAGTGTTTAGAAAAGTATTTTAAAAAGAGAAAAGAATATTTCGCTGGTATTTTTCTATAAGTTTTATTTTTAGTTTTTGCGTAGATCGGAAGGGCATCATTTTCAATCCAATTCCCGCCGATCAGAGTTCCGGTGAGAACAATCGTTCGAAGATGGCCGGGAAATCCAGACCTAAGCCATTGAATGTTTACCTTTATATTCCGAATATCATCGGTGAGTTCTCTTTTGAAATTTCTGTTTGAATACTCTCACTGATATTCGCCTTTCAGCTCGGAAGTATTATATCCGTCGATTTTATCATTCTGTGAAATTTTGATGTATTGGAGAACGGAAATGATGAACTGAAAAGCAGAACGGAGTTGTGTGTTTTGTTTGTCGAAAGCAATGTTGCGTCATTTTGGCTCTTTATCTCTGAAATTTCTGCTGTTTTGATTTTTTTCTTTTCTAATAGGAGACAATATTTGTCTTATTTTGATATTGTTAGCAATAATTTTTTGATGTTTCATATTGTTGATGTAGATTTTGTTAGAATCCTTTTTCTGGCAATCATGATTCATGTCTATTTTTTTTTCAAAAGAGATCGTTGATATTCGGAATAATATAACTAGGGAAAGTTGTTTGGTGATGCTAGGTGTAGTGTTTCTCGTGGAACACTATTGGATTTGTTGGAGCTATTTTTTTTAACAAATTGGATGTTATGTTAGGGTTTCCATGTTATTTGTTATGGCCTATTTGCTGCTGTATTTGCCTTTTCAACTGCTTTATTATTTGTTATTTGAGACGAGGGTCTTTCGGAAACAACCTCTCTATGTTCACAAGGTAGCTTCACGAGGCAGTGGTAAAGTGTGCATACACTCTAACCTCCTAGATCTCACTTGTGGGAATACATTAGATATGTTGTTTTTGTTGTTGTTGTTGTGTATATAAGTAATGGAAATGAAGTTTGCTTTGTTAAATTAAGCACTTCCCTAGTTCTCTTCCATTTTGTGTTTGATTTTCCTTTTCTTACATCTCAATTTCCTCTAATTTTAATTCTCATTTGTTCACATAAAAGATACTTTTCTGCACTGGAAGTTCTTGTGCTCTACTGAAATTAGGAAATAAGTATTCTTTTTCATGATGCTCTTGTGGTGGTCTTATTAACGAAGTAAAACCAAGAAACAAGCTCTACCTTATGTAGTTATGTATTTCTTTTTTTTTTTTTTGAGAATGAAAAAGAAAAAAATAAAATCCTTGTCGATTTTTATCAATATCAAACTTCACTTTCCATGTGGATGCCAAGCATTTAACTTCCACTATTTCTTGTTTGGGGATTTTTCACTTTTCCTATAACCTTCTCGCACTATGTTGTTTGCGCCTTTTCTTATGAAATTCTTGCTTAATTTGGCCATAAATGAATTGCTATATTTGTCTGTTTTACTTTCAACTGGTCCAGTCTGTATATATTTCTCTTCCTCTTATATTTGTAGATGTTTTGATAGTTTATTCGTGTATCTTTGTTATATATATTCAATATTTGTATATTTTGGTTTGAGATTACTGTCAACTTTAGTAGAACTGAAAATGCCACTTAAGTAACTCTTCAGATGTTAAAGTGGGTATAAAGATATGTTGTGCTGAATTAATTGTTACATATGTTGTTGGGTGCAGGATACCTGAGAATTTTGATGAATTGTGTTGCATTTGCTGTGTGCTTCGTGGACAAAAAGCTATTTTCGCTTCTGTATTTTGTCAGGTGAATTCCCTTGATTTATGATTTTTTTTTTGGGGGCGGGGGCGAGGGGGGTGTATGGAAGTGGGGTTATTGTTTAATGGAGTTCTTTTTT